ACGAAATTAATGGTGAAGAGGCTTATTCCACTGCCAATCCCTTCGCATAGCAGCACCAAGAACAGAAGCCAGTCGTCGATTGGAGAGAAATATTTGTCAGCACGTCCGCTTTCAACAGTACAGGGCTAGACCGCACGCTGTGAAAAGGACCACCACGGAGCTCAATAGAGCTGGTTGGCTCTCCCTTTGCACTTCCGTTACTCTTTCCACAGCTAGCTGTCTTCCGAACTAACTCGTTTCGTGGACCAGACGGCTTCACGACTCCAGCGCAACTCAAAATCGCTGACCTGCAACTTCACGTCGTGCCAGCCTGCGTTGTGAAGTGATGACATCTAGAAGGTGTCTAAGAGCTGCTAGGGATCTCACAATAGCAACGGTGGATATGTTTGATCTTATAGAATAACATTCTACTCCATAAAAAAACTATCTGCGTTGTACAAAGAGCCGTCATCTTGTGTTTCTATGGAGCACTTCGCCGCAAGCGAAATGTGGGTCGTTAAAGGGACAACTTCAATTCCGGAAGGAAAGCGGCGTCTGCCATTCTTCACAGTCGACCGACTCTGGGCACTCAGATAGGTAACCATATAGGCGGAAAGGTTCTAGCAGGTATCAATAACGGAAAAAGATGGACCGCGCACGCGAAATTCGGTGCATTTCTTAATCGAATGCACATCGATCGAATTTGAGCTTGCTGAAAAAAACGATGCAAAGCGTCGAAATGGTCTCTGGACTCAAGGAAGAGGTCATCTGCAACGAAGGATTAACTTAGAAACAACCACTCTGACAGCCTTTTGCAGATTCTAGGATTCCAGAATTGTTAGGAGCATGTGGTGTGCGGAATATTAATGAAGAAAAAAGTGAAGGAACCGTAAAAAACGCCCTAAGAGTGCTATTGGCTCAGATCTTCGCTTGGGTATACAGAGCAGAGACTGAGTGTAGGGAAGAGAAGCCCATTGTGGCATGGCTAGAATACACAAGATCAAGCAGCCACCGCTAGATAGCGAATGGTGAAACTGAATGTTAAAGGAGGATTCAAATTGAAGCCGATGCGTATGCGAGAGTCAGGTCATCGTCGCTGAGCCGTCGTGCTTTTATCCACCGCTTCAGAATCGCGAAAGTGAGACATCATCTGTGAGTCCATATCCTCTTTTGCCCCACTACTTCACCCTGTACAGTAAGTCTTCTACACCTTGGTCAGTCATGGGCGCTGTTGTTAAGACTGGTGAACTAGTTATCGCTTTGAACATTGCAGATTCTTGCATAAGTTAGCTAATACTACCTGAGACGGTGTGCTACACTCAACGTCGAGATGAAATATGGATCGCCTCAGTGACCCTTCAACCCCTAAAAGCACTTGCTGAAGGAAGGCGGGGATGCGACTATCGGTTATACCCTGTGTGGCATCATGTTGATTGACATATTTGAGTTGCGCTAGAGGAATACGGTTGCAGAGCGGCTAAAGGAAGCCAATACAAAATACATTCAAAGAAATAACAGCAGAGAGCGGTGGGCCACCGAGAGATCTCAATTATGGTATAGATACGGCCTCAAACTAATGATGTACAGTCATTCTTACGTTTTAAAAAAACGTTGCCACCACCAGCAAGTAGCAGAGGCAATGTGTCCTCGGCGCGATTGTAACGTGATGGAATAATTCCTGTTGCAGAAGGGCTATTACAAGAGTAGGTGATGTTATTTTGTGAAGTGATGGCTTGTGGACGAGGAAGACCAGCGAACAGCTTTTCGGCTCCAAACATAGGATTGTAAGTCTGGAAATTCCGTAATAGCCTTTTCGAGATCATAATACTCAGAGGAGTTTATCGTACCTGTGATGAGACGGTGTCTTCGAGAATACTAGATCTACTCGCTGCTCGATCCGGACGTGCGGGTGGCTCGGACGAATACTGTGGTATCTGCAGGGTGAGGGCGGCCAACTTAAATACTTTTTTTAAGAACCAATATGAAGCACTAACAGCAAGCTTCAACAAAGCGCGCGCTGTGCTCTGGCGCAAGGCACTAACAAGAGCTTACCCGGGAACATAGAGCGTTATATCCCAGTAACGGTGCGAGCGACGAAAAAGGCATTGCATGCGGGTTGATGTGCATAGCAATTGCACGTAGCGTGCTGTTGTCGCAAATCGCGAGGACCGCTTCTGAGGGAAATAACTCAGGATGCGCCTTTGCTCACATGTAACTGCCGCGATGACCAACGAACTACCCATGATCGCGCGGGAATAAGCGACGCAATATCGATGGCGCCGCCACGGCCCCTCCTGCTAGATCAGTCATTATCTGGTTCTATGAAGATAGCTCTTTTAAGCTACTCCACTACTCGACGCGGACACGTCGTGGTTCGA